GGAGGGGTTTTCTCATCACCCGTAGCCGGCCTTCATCCTGAGCCGCTCTCTGTGCTCAGACCCGGAAAGGGAGGCTCCTCAACCCTCAGCTGGGTATGGGTCTACCAGGGCAGGACACCCCCAAGCTATTCAAAGAAAAACCACCAGAGGAAACGATTTCAACTCTGGCTTTACAGCATGTGATTTTAAAATAACTCAGCCTTTGTCTGCTGTGGACGACTTTCCCTAGAGGGACTGCTGTCCTTACAGCAGCCGCTCCATCCTCCGGGCAAACAGGTTCTTATTTTTCCAGGACCTGGCGCTTCCAAGTACCACTCCTGATGGCACCTGGCGCACAATCACCCATGTGGTCAGGGCGACTCCTGCATCTGCTCTCTGGGACACCCAAGAGGCTGCGCCCAGGTGACCGAGCTGCCGGAGCAGGTGCTAGAGCACCCAGCAGCCACCGCTCCTCTTCTTTCATTAGATGTCAGCCCAGGAAGCTGTGAACCCAAGTTCACACGGCACCCCAGAGCCACAGGAGGGTGCAGGGGTCCCTGAGTTATTTCTTCAAGGCAAAGTATATTTCTCCAGACACTTGATTCATTTCTTGATCAGAGAGCTAGACAGAGGAATAAGGACGGGTGTGCCAAACAGGAAAGGGGGTGGGGGCCAGTCACGGTCGATAGTATGAGAATTCACAGGAACCTCACCTTGTCATTCCAAGACATGCTTTGGGCAGACCTAGAAATGCCCCATGTGCGACCGCCTGACCTTGTTTCCTTTCCGCCACACGGAGAGCCCTGATGACACGTGCTCCCCAGCATGACGCGGGGGATGCAACAGCAGAAAACGAATGTTTAACAAAACGGCTCTGAACATGTCTCCTGGCTCACCGATGCCACGCTTTTATAAACTAAAAAGTGTACCCCTCTGCTCTATTAACATTACATTTCCTCTTGAAACCTAATGTCTCCTGACATTCTCGAGAGTTTGGCCACAGAGCATTACAGGAGGTCAAAAGCATCCACGTGTGTGACAGGGTCCGAATTCAGGCCCCAGGTTGCTGTCCACATGGAAGGTCTACATCAGTTCTCAACAGGGGTGATTTTGCCTCCAGGGGACACCTGGCAGCGACTGGATTCATTTTCACTTGTCACAGCTAAAGTTTGTGTGTGTGTGTGTGTGTGTGTGTGTGTGTGTGTGTGAATAAGTGTTTGTGTGAGCGGGTATGTGTGAATAAGTGAGTGTGTGTGGAGAAATATCTAAGTGTGTGTGTGCGAGAGTGTATGTGCGAGTGTAAGAATGAGTGTGTGTGTATGGATGGATGAGTGTGTGTGGATAAGTGTATGAGTTTGTGAATGTGTGTGTGAGTATGTGTGTTTGTGATTGTGAGAGGGTGTGAGTGTGTGTGTGTGTGTGTTAATGTGTGTGTGTGAGTGTGTGTGTGTGTGTTAATGTGTGTGTGAGTGTTAATGTGTGTGTGTGTAAGTGTGTGTGTATGTGTTAATGTGTGTGAGTGTGTGTGTGTGTGAGTGTGTGTGTGAGTGTGTGTGTGTGTTAATGTGTGTGAATGTGTGTGTGTGTGTGTGAGTGTGCGTGTGCTGTTAAATTTCCTACAATGCACAGGACAGTTCCCCACAATGAAGACTTACCTACAACAGCAGCATGGCCAAGGTGGAAAAGTCCTGCTCTAGACTGAGATTACACAATTCCCAGAATGCTCCAGGCTACCTCTGTGCCCTTTCCTTCTGAGGATTTATTTTCCTCAAGATTCACCTGGCATTTCCATCCTGGTCACCTGCGATGACACAGGACAGTGGAGAACGTTCTCCTTTGTCCGTTTGCTCATGAGGAGCCCTGCATCAGGCCCACCCCTGAGAGCTCTAGTTTATATCATGATCTTTGGAAGGATCAACAGCAGAGGGCATTTCATCTGCATCTGGTATTTGAAGAAGAGCTTTCATGTTTTCCCTTTTTTGTCAGGAATATCATTGTGTTTTCAATTCAAAGAAGGAGATTATTTTGAAGTATGTTTCCATGATCAAAAAAAGACATGTCAACGAAGAGTTTGTGGATAGACCCCAGGGTCCCCTTTGGTCCTAGTGCCTCTCCTTCCCCCACAACCTAACAGTGACAGCGCTGAAACCAGGAGTCCTAGCTATGGGCTGCGAATCGGACTGGGGCACCTCGGCTTCCTGAGTCATTGATGAACACGGATCCTAATGAACCAAGGTGTGGGCCCAATATTTGCAGACCTTCTGGGAAAACATACAGTATTTCTAACATGGTATTTGGCAGAGGGTTGATTGTAAGTGGTAGGGTTCAAGCACCCCACTCCAATAACGATCGGTCCACACCTCCTGATAGTTCTCCCCAGATGAAGTGGCTGCATACTGTACCTCATCACTCTAAGAAGGCATTTCAGAAGACAGGGATCGAACTAAATGATAAAAGCTGACACACATGACGACGGTCACCGCTGCTCTCGTGAGCAGAACATTTGCGCCAGTCACCGCACCTTTTATGTACCTTACCTCCACTTTTCACAAAAGCTCAATCAACTAGACCCGTGGTCGGCAAACTGCGGCTCGCGAGCCACATGTGGCTCTTTGGCCCCTTGAGTGTGGCTCTTCCTAAGCCTTAGGAGTACCCTAATTAAGTTAATACCAATGTACCTACCTATATAGTTTAAGTTTAAACAATTTGGCTCTCAAAAGAAATTTCAATCGTTGTACTGTTGATATTTGGCTCTGTTGACTAATGAGTTTGCCGACCACTGAAATAGAGGCTCTGTCATTCTACACAAAGGGAAACAGGCTCCGAGAGGCTGTCCCTGTGAATGGCCACAGAGCAGAAAGCCTGAGGCACAACGGTGCCTTCCCACTGGGGCTCTGCCCCCTTCTCCCTGGTTTTGTGCCACTTTGAACAGTGGTTTGTTTTGCTGCTTGTCTGTCCCCGGGAAGAAGGTGAAGACAGTGGCATTGTGCGCTCTTAGTACCAGGGGCTCGGGGTCACATAAAAGAGTGTTTTCCCGAGCTTCCGCAGCCTCCTGGGTGGTCAGAGGTTAAGACTGAATTCCATGCCAGCCAGTAGCCCTGGGTTATCACTCAAAGTAGGTTTTGGAGGAGGGGGGCCGGCACAGAGAGCTATGAATGGGAGAACTTTAACCCCAACACTAACATTTCAAGGCAGGGGGGCGCTCTTCCTCCTTTGCCACTTGTCCTTCATTTTAAACCTGCTCTGTGTGTCACAGAAATTCTCCCCGCATCGCATGGAGGACGCGGGGTTCAGGAAAGATCTCTAGCACAATCTCCCATTGTCCTGCTTTCTGTCCTCCCCTGCAGCGAAGGCCTCGGCTCCGAGGCCTTCCTGACAATGGATCTGGCTGAATCTTTGTTCCTGGTTACCTGTGGACAAAACACGGCCTTTCTTCCTGCTCATTTTTGAACTACAGGGAGCTACAGGAACGGAGCCACAGCTGCCTCTGCCCGTGAGTGCAGCAGAGCGCTCAGCAGTGGGTTTTGAAGTCCTGGTCATTTCAGGGGATGGTTTTTGTAATATTGCAACACCATTTACAGCCGACCTTGCGGCCTTGCAGGCATTGATAAAAGTGGATTCAGTGTGCTCAGACAGAGGAAAATGACAAAAGGAAATGTAAGGACAACTTGCTTTAGAGCAGTGGTTCTCAACCTGTGGGTCGCGACCCCTTTGGGGGTCGAACGACCCTTTCACAGGGGTTGCCTAAGACCATCGGAAAACACATATATAATTACATATTGTTTTTGTGATTAATCACTATGCTTTAATTATGTTCAATTTGTGACAATGAAATTGGGGGTCACCACAACATGAGGAACTGTATTAAAGGGTGGCGGCATTAGGAAGGTTGAGAACCACTGCTTTAGAGGCACACTAAAGAGAGAACTGTGGGGCCGGGTGCTGAAAAAGGCTAAGTCGTGCTCACTAGGAGAGGGGTCTGAGAGTACATTTCTCAGTCGTGACAACGCGAGATGAAAAGATAAAAAGGCTCTCTGCCCCACACCCTTAACTAACATCATTTTTCCCTTTAGGCCAGATAAGGGTGGACATAAGTAAACCACTGCCTTATAGAGTCTCCACACATCACTGAGCACAAGCCTTGTATCCGGGGAGTTGGGGGATGTGGACAAGGGGCAGGAGATGAGAGGGATCCTGAATTCTCCAAATACCACCTGTCAGCTGGTGTTTCTTAAACTGCAGTCCTTGGACCAACTTCATCCAATCCCCCAGGGGGCTGGTTAAAAATGCATATTCCTGGGCCCTCACCCCAGGCCTGAAAACCCAGCATTTCTAGGGTTGGTCTGCATTCAGCCGACTCCCTGGTGATGCAGACACTCACTGGAGTGGGACCACGGCTGCTGGGGGTGGAACAGCATGGGGCAAAAACAGGTGCACAGTGGTGAGTGCGCCAAACAGGGTTTACTCTTGTATGAGCATTTATTCATCCCTGTACCATTTTCCAAATGAACAACTGTACACCTGCCTTTGCCCCACCCTGTACGAGGCTCCTCTTTCAGAGCGAGCTAAGTCCCCCAATGAAGAAGTTTACTCCCCTCCCCCCCCGCCCCTCCCTGGAGTCAGGAGGGAGAGCCTTCGGAGAGGTTACCTGGTCTGATGGGGCTCTGCATACAGGTCGGGGACGGGATGCCAGGGTGAAGGGGTGCAGAGGCCCGGTTGCTGAGGTCCACCACGGAGGGGGCAGCGGAGGAGGCGGGCGGCAACCCCGGGGGGTGCGGGCTTTGGTCGTGCTGAGGGCTGGGGGGGATGCCGTTTTCGGACAGAAACTCCTCCAGGTCCATGTACTCCAACTGGAAAGTGTCTCCGTCATAGGGAAGGGTTTTGTCCCATAAGGTGGGTCCCAGGAAGGCGGACTGGGGGATGGTCGGGCTGTGACTCTCATCGTCCAGCTTCTTGTCCTTGTCTTTGTCTTTATGAAACGCTGCGGGGAAAGGGGAGAGTCGGACTTTAACAAAGGAAGCGTGCGGCTTTGTCACCACCCCTCCCGGCCTCTGCTACAAAGCCACCGGTCACAAACACCAGGGTTGTCTGGCCGCCGGCTTTTGTGGATCTAGAGTTAAAAGTTCAGGCAGGACATGGATCTTGGCCTGTTTTTCAATATCTTCCTATTTACTTTGGAAAGAAAGCGCTGGTCCTTGGGTCAGGGAGACAGACTGCTCTGGGACGTAAACAAGGGGGCACAGTCTTTGGGGCATTATTTGAGGAGGCAAATCATTTAAATCTACAGTGGGGAAGTAACACCTGCAGTTATATAAAGCTGCTGGGATTTTTAGGGAAAAGGGCAATAACCAGGTATGATTTAGCATCCAGGAAAGTCATTACCGTAACAACATGAAGTCGTTCGGACGTGGAAAGCCAGCCGGGGAGTTGGTGACTCTAATTTTGCTAAAGCAGGGACTCCCCACCCTTCTTTGAAACCGTGTATTGAGCACCTACTACATTCCTGGTTCTTTCCATATATTAACTCCTAAACTCTCAGAACCAACTTGCAAATCGTGATTATCCCCATTTATAATGAAGGCACGGAGGCTCTAAGCCGGAAGGAACTTGACCAACGCCTCATATTGGCACAGAAGACCGCCTAAGCTCAGGTTTTGCTTCTAAATCCACTGGGCTACACTGGATTTTACAAAACGAGTTTTCTTTTCTCTCTCTCTCTTTTTTTTTAAATACAAAGTGTTTTCAGCCTCTTCCCCTAAACACGTAAGTATGACCTGATTCACAAAAATTACACACGTACACAAGCTGTTAAAGCACAGCTAATGGAAAAGGTGGTCACTTGGCATCCCTATGATGGAGGTGTGCAGCAATTTTTACCTGGAAGTACTGCCTCCCCCCAGGAGAGCTGTAACCAGCGCTCAGAATTTTGCCAAGTCTAGTACTCAGGCGCCGGTGGAATCTGGGATTAAGGAATTTGGCTTCTGAGTTTCTTCCTCGGAGAAACACAGCCTCCACCGCCATCCATTCTAATCCTCTACAGTCTCATCTCCTGAGAATCTGACTTAAAACACCCACGGATGCAAAAAAGACTGCAGGCAGCACCTCCCTGCCAAGAGCTACTCCTTAAAGGCGAGTTCCGTGGAAAGCTGTGCTCTGCAGACCAAGAAGGAACCCCTCAACTTGTGCAATGCAACAGGTTGGCCCCTGCCAGGAAAGAAGATGCAAGAAGATGCGAGCACGCCCAAGCTCTTCTTCCCAGCCAAAGGATCTGGACCTTCCACTCGGAGCCACACAGGGTCTGCATTTGCTACTGGGATCAGCCCAAATGCAAATCCCTGGCGGCACCAGCGGGGTTCAGCGCCTCCTTGAGCGACCCCTGACCCCTCCGTCAGGTCGCTGCAGCCGAGGCCGCAGGGAAAGGTTTGGGACTTACCGGGAAAGGGAAAGGGCTCAGGCCAGAGGAGGCTCCTCGCGGCTACACGTGAGCCTGCTCCTCGCTCCCCTCCCACCGAGAAAGTGCAGCGGGCCAGTGTCGGTGCTGGAGGCGTGCACCGCTTCCCGCTGAGAGACAGCACCCCTCACCCCATCCAGGGTCTCCGCGCACACCTCGTGAGCTCCAAATCCGAGCTAAGAACAGAAACAATACATGATCCCAATACTCGGCCTAGGCAGTGAGGCCCCCCATTCGGGCCCCCACCCCTTCGGAAGCAAGCCCCCTGATTTCTCCTCCCCCAGCCAGAGCTCTGCCCTGGAGCGGGCGGTTTTTCCCTGCGGGAGCCTAAGCCTAAGACAGGGAAACACTGACCTGTCAAGTTACATCTCCTACCCGCGCAGCCGGAGCGGGACCCAGGGAGGCCGGGCCGGGTCCCCAGCACTACTTTAAACATTGCACGGTGAGGGGGTCACCATTTTTCGAGGAGAAGTGGGGTGATGGGTGAGCTCCTCTATGTCATTAAAGCAGGGCCAGGGTCCCTGGGAACGGAGGGAGATGGATGCTCCAGCCAGCTAGCTGCGGGGAGGGGGGTGGCCTGTGAAGGAGGGGGACCCCAGGAGCATCGTTCCCACCCAGAGCGGGGCAGCCAGGAGGGCAGCGCTCACCGTCTTCAGGATGAAGGGGGAGCTTCAGCGGGTTCTCCAGCAAGGACCTGAGCACGCCGTAGGGAGGCGGGATAAAGGTGGGGTTCAGGGGGAGCGGTCGGGACATTTTCTCCATTGCGATGCAAATATTTTTCTTAAAAAGAAAAAATACAACAACCGCCCCCCAAAATGCTGCTGAGCTTTTTCCTCCGTCCTTTGCCAAAAGTACTCGCTTGGAGACAAGGGAAGAACAAAAATGTACTTATATCTTTATAAGTGCATCTGCATAAAAAAATAAAAGCCAAAAACTTTCAGGTTTCCAGTGCAGCCTGTCCCTGGAGAGCGCGCCAAGTGCCCCCCGGCTCCTGGGCGGCGACCTGCAGGATGCTCTCACCTGTCTTGAACCCACCGCCTT